GTCATTGCAATTATCAGCAGCATTAACATCGTCGCTATTATTCTCGTTAGTATCATCATCGTCATTATTGTTATACTGGTCATCCTCCACATAATATCATCACTATCTTCATTAGTATTATTATTATCAACAACACCAAAACAATCGTCATCATAATCATCACCAACACTCTCCTCATCATCATTATTCTATTCTTTTCATACCCACCATAATTATCATTATTACTATTATTTTATTATCTTTGTCATTTTCATCACCATCATCATCCTCAGTATTATTGCTATAAGTGTCACGTTCCTCATAATCATACTCATACTGGCATCATCATCATTATTATTATTTATTATTAGAAGTTGTAATAGCCTCAGCAGCATAACTCTCAACATCAACATCATAATCATCGTCATTCCCATCGCTGACATCAGAATATTCAGCACCACATTCCGTCTGCTCACCATAACCACCACCGCGACTAGCATTATTATCATTATATTCCTATTATTATCATCACTAATATTACTGCTATTCTATTATTATTATTATTTTCATGATCATTATAAGCATCATCTTCATCATTGCACTAATAAGTGTCATCATCACTCTCTCTCTTTCTCAATCTCACCCTTCTCCTCCTTCTGCCTCCTTTGCAGCGTGTCGGCCGGCCAATTCGACGAACTCTTCGATAGGCTGGACATAGACCAGTCGGGCTATCTGGACAAGAAGGAGCTAAAGCGACATCTCGACAAAGTGGGCCTAAGTCCACAGATTTTCGGCTTCAGCAAATACCTCAAAAGCATCGATCAGGACAAGAACAAAAAGCTCTCTCGAGAGGAGTTCCATGAATTCATGAGGGACCTGCTGGGCATGTGAAGACGTCGGTGGTGCACAGTAAATGATAAACATAAAATCATACAGTCGATGGCAACCAAGCATGCATGCGCACAGGGCATACCACCCGACAAGGATTAAATAAACTTTATATTCTGTCATTCTACTAATTTATTTATTTATTTCTTCTTTCTCCTTTTGCTGTGCTAACAAGCATTCGGATGTCATCCAATTCACCTCCAGCACGCCTAGCCCTGTTTGTTTTGAAGAGCCCAAAACCCGATTCTCTATTCAGTCGCTATGCGACCTCTTTCTTGTCATGTGGAAATCATGTATTCGTGGTCCACCATCCGCGGCCTGAATCTGAGCTCATCTCTGGGCAATCTGGCCAAAGTGAAATAAGATCACTGCTGACGAGTGGGATCGCCTTTTAATGCACAAATACGGTACCTTGTTTTGGTACCGGCGAAACCGTGCAGAGCTTTGTCCTCCCATCGACCAATACCATAAGGGCTAAACATCATTCTTATCACGTCTTCAACGCCACAATAGAGCTGAGCACATTCTATGCGTTTTCATCAGAATCGGGCCTGTAACCTCTTCAATATATCCATTCTCATGAAATAAAAATCAGGCCAACCCCGTGATTATTCATGTATCTTCAAATAAGACTTACTATCAGCAGATCCTGGAGAAGAGTTCTAGTCATCCGATAAGGGAATGATGGTTTAATTTTCCCCTATTCAGATGGATAAACCTCATGATACTTATAATGCAAGATCTAATGAATATCGTAGCCTACTTATCATGAATATAAGTAGTGTAAAATGAAATTTTACTTAATCACAATCTCAATAGGAAAATTTGATGTGGAAAGGCTTGAAATGCCTTATTATTCATGTCTTCCTTATGACCAAATGACACTTGTGTTAGTAACTTGTCGAAATTACAATCTGAACTACCGTTAGCCGGGTTGGATTGTTTCTGGAGCTGGAGGGGTTGAAACTGTAATCAAGTTTAGTCCAGTAGGGATAAGAACACATTTGGGAGACAAGACTGAGTGGAATTTGGTTTACCCATCTCATTATGGGCTAAACTCAACTAGCAGTCAGTGATTCATTACTTACTTAAGTATTTATTCATAAATCACGGATGGTATCTAAATCTATTCATATCGAAAGAAAGGAGGAGAATTGTCCTTGGGCAGTTATCGTTGTGAATTTGGGCGAAAATGTGCTTGATACACCCTCCTTCGATCCCGACCAATCCGCACTGAGATTTCGTCTTTGCTGCAAAAATACAACTCGTCAGAGTGTGAAACCCGTCTTAGCGACATATTCACCAAGCCCTAAGCCAAGAAGGCCTGCTGCAATCCTACCCACTCACTCGGCGAAGCACATTAGGACTTGGCTGTCTATGTTATGTGTATACGTATGTGCATGCATATATATGTATGTATGTATGTATATATTTATGTATGTATGTATATATGCGTGCATCACCTCTAATTTCATTCATTTACATTGAGCTTACTTCCATTTCGAGGGAAATCGTTGGGTGAAGAGATTCGAAGGTCGACTCCACCAGAAGACGACGACGGATTCCCCTTGACCAGCTGACGATTGGCTTTACTGGAACATTCATGCTGACGCCGTTTCCGAAGCAATCTTCTTCGGTTCCGGTGAAAACGTGCTAAGCTTTCGTCCGTCATATGACAACCAAATGGAAGCTGACGAGTCAAGAAAATTCATCGACAAATCCTTAAAAAGTTGTATAAGATAACGCAAATAGGCACATACACATGCACATGCTTCGAGATTTGCATTTGACTGAAACTAACCAAATCACTTTAGACCTCATCAAAGAGGCGAGATACAGACTATATTTACGGCTTTTGGAGGATTTGTCGGTGAGTTTTCTTGACTCGTTAGCTTAAATTTGGTTGTGAAGATGATACCTTGCTCTGATCATGTTCGTCAAATGACGGAGGAAATCTTAAAACCTTTTCACCGGAATCGAATGGGATCGCCTCGGAAACAACGTCAACATGAATCTTCCAGTAAAGCCAATCGACAGCTGGTCAAGAGGAATTCGCCGTCGTCTTCTGGTGGAAGCGACCTTCGAATCTCTTCACCCGACACTTCTACTCGAAATGGAAGTAAGCTCATCAATTATGAAACAAGAAATTCCTCGAAACCCAACTTTTCTTCGTTTATTCATTCATGTTCGTCCACATTAAAGCGCACAAGCACACACGAATAGGCTTACAGATTAGAATATGATGCGAAGCAATTATACCAGTTGATACCTTATACAAACGCATCGGTTTAAAGTGTAATTAAACACCATGTCGGGATAAGCCGATGCGTTTTCTTGTCCCCATAACTTGAATATGCTTGCTTGTCTGGTGCCCGCCATACGATGGAGGGTCAAGTAGAATGTAAAACGAAGTGAAAGTTGGCCAAGAGTAATCCACCAAAACATCTTATCCGTTCCCTTAAAATGGAAACGAGCCCAACAGTTACGGGAACCTCTTTGAAATATCACCTCGTTGGTTGATGCATATACAAAAAAGTCAACATTTTATGACCCGTCTAGTACCTTCACTTCTACTAATGAAGTGACAGACAGGGACAGATGCAAGACTACTTCATGATCTTGAATCATGTAGGTGAAAAGCACTATTAACATTTTATAAATTCAATCAATTTACCCAAGATTGTAGGCTTTACGCAAGAATTCGAGTAATTAATTTTCATCCACCACAAACAAGACCGAATAACGCCACAGCGACAGATGCGTGGCGGATATTTACTACCTTGCCTGTCTGAGAACGGCATAGTTACGAAGAAGCTACCAGTTTACCGTTTTGCTATCACATCAATCTGACGTCAAGCGTGGTCCGGTCGACATGCACAATTTTTTTTTAATGATTTAAATTGAAATGAATCAGGTGCATAAAATCAGTTTCTATTAAAATTCAACAATTTTTCAATCGGTCAGATACAAACATTTCTCAGAGGCAATATACTGAAATTTAATTGTAAAGAGCAAATTATAGGTCGGATAAGGAGAAGGATAATATGAGTAGTGTATATAAAGGTGAATAAGTCTTGAAGATACAGCTAATAGATAGAATTAGGGCAAATATATATTAATAATGAGTCAGCTCCACACGATTGTTTATGTAACTAACGCATCATCTATCGAAAAATGCGGGTCAGTGATTAAGGAAAGAGTGCAGTAAAACAATGTGTAAAGAAAAGACTAATATCTTCCTTAATTGTACTTACTTTTTGAGAAATTTTGGATCCTCTTTCACAAGCTGAAAGATACACGAAATTGTGTGTATGCGGTAGTTTCTATGTGGAGGGCATCTGGCAACTCAGCTGAACACAAAACTACCTAAAAATGGTGCATTTCCACAAAACTCTGAACTAACTTAACACAGTGCTAATGCAAGGCAGTAACTAGGATTCGAAGAGATGGAGACCAAAATGGTGTGGCCTCCGGAATGGTCGCAGTCGGAGAGCAAACCGTCACAGAAATTCGATTATATGGCCAAAATGTACTAGAAATCATCTTGACATGTCGCAGGCGACCAGAGATAGACGTCCTCAGCTTGCTCATATAACATGGGCTTGATCAAGGAGACGACCCATGAAGGCAATGCCTGAGATCCGCGAGCATGGGAATCATAGCCTATGCAACCTGCTCGGTGAGGCGGCAATGTACGTGCTTCTGATGCCTTGAGAAATTGTGCTTAGAGTAAAACACACACTGGAACTGGAACCAAATGAAATCGGTCAACCAGAAAGAGAAGGAACGGATCTACGAGACTATGCTGGGATCCGGATTGGAGGTCAAAGTCGGATCAACCGATCGAAAGAATAGTAGGTGTGATGAGGCCACACTCGGTTTGCCACAAAAGGTCACACATTTTGACGAGTGGAATGTAAACAAGTGAAAAGTTATGATGCGGCGGCAGTGGGACAAGAGGCTAAAGATTAGATAGATAGACCAGGATAGAAAGAGGAGTGATAGTGTAACCGTTTCCAGCAGAACGGTTGTCGAGGGATTGACTTCACTT